TTCAAACCAAAGTATTAAGTTTGTTAATACATGTGTATGTAATTTGATATGGATTTTTGAAATGGTTAGCAGAGAGATGTATTCATCACATAGGCGTGGAGTGCGATCTTTTAAACTCGATCACATTTAATTGATACGATATGCTGGAGTACACATAATGATGGATTTTTATAAAACATCCTCAATATATGAGCATTGATTCCATTTCTATTTGGGTTTTCTAAACGAAAACCATTGGCTTGAAAAAACTTGGCTTTGGCCTGGGTTTGGATAAAGTAGTTAAGCAGACTATCTGAATATTGCGAAGAATAATACACATAACAGTTTTCGTCATCTATAAAATTTTTAGCTTTGAAAGTATGCCACGCCAATAAAGTAATTGCAAAAATTTGTTTGGGATTTTTCATATGTAGATATGTATAATAATGCGATAGGTTCATTAAAGTACTAACAAATTATTAACCAGGGTTTCTCGTTTATCAAAAAAAAAAAATATTTAAATAAAGTAGTTACTAATTAATCACAACAGACGGCCAATTTATTCGCCACTCGACTCGCACACCTGCTCTCTGAGAGCACTCTTCAACAACCCGACATACGCGAGTAGTGGAACCATATTTCCCGCTCATTAAGTACCGTCACACGGTGCATTTTTTTGGGGGTGTGGGGGAGTGAACAAAAATAGGTAAAAACATTAACAAATCAAGATTGCGCCGATCAGAGAGGATTTTTAAGAATAACTTTTGTGTGACGTCACACTGGTGCAATTGCGAGAGAGAAATGTCAAAACGTGAGCAAGAATGGAAGAAGAAAAAATGTTGCAAAAAAAACGTAAACAAGTTGCACAAGTGTGACGTCATGCAAACAACGATTCTGTCAAATTCGTTAAGAGAGGAACAGCGGTCCGAGATCGGCGCAACCTTTGTATTCTCTCAATCGTCTACTAGAGGTATACGCCGCCGAGCCACGCCGCCGCCGTTTTTTGTCATTTCTCACGCGCCGCCGCCGAGTTAGGAAAATATCGGCATGGCGGCGGCGGCGTTCGGCGCCTAAGGAATTTTGTACAAAATTTTCATGTTGTATGCACATTGAAATACATCGCTTGAAGGAACTAAATACTACTCGTATAAAAACACTATTTTACGAAATGAAAATTACATTTTTAAAAGGAGTTTTTTTTTGCATAGTTTGGGCCACTGAACATTTAAAAAAAGCGTAACTCAGAAAAAAACATAGGTAACACGTTTTTCGATCGAAAGCATTTATTACAGTTATATTAGGGTCGAATACTGGTAATCTGACGATTTTTTCCGCAGTAGAAATTTTTTTCAATACTACAACAATATTACTTTTTTAAATACTACATCAACAAGGAAGTTATAACACATCAAAAACTTTAACGCCAATATGTCAGAAAGCAGTTTTAGCAGAAGCGCCCTTATTGCATCTAACTCCTCAATTATTGGAGATAAAACAAAGACGTTGAATTTCCTGTGTGTTTTTTAAATATTTTAAACAGAATTTTAATAAAAAGCAAACACTTTTTTTTCTAATTTTTACATTCGTAAGTTACTTTATTCTGGGGTCCCACAGAAGTATACAAGAACTTGGTGGCTGTGTGAAAATTACGTTAGTATTCCTAAGTTGTGGTCAAACCCCAGGAAGGTTTTGCTCCCGCGTATCGCAATATTTTCTACACAGAGTTAAAGTCCCCGTAAAAATTACTATTATTTTGCATTACATTCTGTTCTCCTTAGAAAAATTTGGCGCTTAAAATATTAGTGGAAATGTTAATCATTTATAAGCCATTTTTCAAACAGTGGGTTAAACTTTTGGAAAAAGTAGGCCAACCATATTTTCAATATATAACCCGCAAAAAATCGTAAGAACTCCGTAACTTAACATAACGGTTGATAAGCTAATTACAAAAATTTATTGATAGCGACATAAATTACCCCAATAACTTAACCTTTAAATTTTTTTATTTCTTTAAATTGAAATAGTACATACTGATTTGCAAAGTACATAGAGATGTATGTATATTAGAGTGCCCATCGAAAATCGTTTTTTTTGTACGTTCTTCTTCTTCTTCTTATTTGGCGCTGTAACCGCCTAAGCGATTTTGGCCGAGTCCAAAACTGCACGTCAGTCATATCTCTTCTGTGCTAACTGACGCCAATTGAAAATGCCAAGTGAAGCCAAGTCCTTCTCCACCTGGTCTTTCCAACGCAGAGGAGGCCTTCCTCTTCCTCTGTTCCCAGCATCGCGGCCCGCGTTGAATATTTTCAGAGCAGGAGCGTTTCTGTCCATCCGAACGACATGGCCAAGCCAGCGGAGCCGCTGAATTTTAATTCGCTGCACTATGTCTATATCGTTGTAAAGCTCATACAGCTCATCGTTAAATCGTCTGCGATATTCGCCATCACCAACGCGTAAAGGTCCGTAAATCTTTCGCAGAATCTTTCTCTCGAAAACTCCAAGAGCCGCCTCATCAGATGCTTTCATTGTCCATGCTTCCGCGCCATACACCAGCACAGGCATGATGAGTGACTTATAGAGTGTGATCTTTGTACGACGAGAGTGGACTTTACTTCTCAATTGCCTACTCAGCCCAAAGTAGCACTTGTTGGCAAGAGTGATTCTCCGTTGGATTTCAAGGCTGACATTATTATTGGTGTTAATGCTGGTTCCCAAATAAACGAAGTCGTCTACTTTTTCAAACTTGTAACTGTCAACAGTGACGTGGGTGCCAAGACGCGTATGCTCTGACTGTTTGTGTGCTGACAGGAGATACTTCGTTTTGTCCTCGTTCACCACCAGACCCATTCGCTTTGCTTCTCTATCCAATCCCGAGAAGGCAGAACAGACGTAGCCCTTGTTTTTACCGATAATATCGATGTCGTCGGCATACGCCAGCAATTGTACGCTCTTATAAAGTATTGTGCCTGAGCGGTTCAGTTCTGCGGCTCTTATTATCTTCTCCAACATAAGATTAAAGAAATCACACGAAAGGGGGTCCCCTTGTCTGAAACCTCGTTTGGTATCAAACGGCTCGGAGAGGTCCTTCCCTATTCTGACGGAGCTGGTGGTATTGCTCAACGTCATTTTACACAGCCGTATTAGTTTCGCGGGGATACCAAATTCAGATATCGCGGCATAAAGGCAACTTCTCTTCGTGCTGTCGAAAGCGGCTTTGTACGTTAGTGCTACATATTTTCAAATTGTGGAAGTTATCGATGGTCCAAATTTAAAAAATTCTTTGAAATTGAAGCAAAAATAGTCATTCAAAAACTCATGAATCTAGAAAATCGTATTTTCTGACCTAAATCGACAGGACGCAACCTCTAAATGGCCTTTAAAAAATCCATAACAATAGTCAATAATATTTCTCATAAAAACGAATAAAATTAGGGGGTAGGGTCTTTAAATTGTTAAAACAAGCATTTTCATAATCAGTTTGTTAAAACAGTTGCCAGCTATTTTAAAAATCAGTTGGAATCACTTGAAACTTATTACTCGGCGGGTTTTGGGTCGCTGATCAGGAATCTAGCATCAAATTTTCGATATTCAAAATGGCGTGTACAATATGGCGGACGATATTTTGAACATTGATTATATATATTTTTATATTTTCCGTCCGTGGTGTGAATCGGTAGAAAAGCGCTATGGAGAATGCTGGTGAATTTTTTACAACCGCTAAAGATTGATGCCGAATGAAGCGTTAAAAATTAAAGAAAATGAATATTTTAAGAAAATATATGTTATTGATTGCAATTCGTTTAGAGCCAGGTCCCTGCAACTAATGACCGTTTCGGCACGATTACGATAATCGAGCGTCAAGTTTTGACCATGTATTCCTGAATGAGGATTTTTTTTTTTTTAATTAATTTCATCGAATTTCTAATTTTTGTGCAGAACTCATTTTGGGTAGCCGGCCCTCGGCAATGCTTCAAAAAAAAAAAAAATACTCCTGGCTGGACCAACACCGGCTACGCTATCCACAGTATTTTTACAGATCGATTTTTTCATAATTTTTCGCAGTTTCCCCAAGTGAAAATACATCGAAAAACATGGTCGAAATTTGTCGCCCCCGTATTGGCATTAAAAACACGGTACCGGCGGGTAAGACTGCTTGCATTGACGCCTATTTCTATGTTTTTTTTTTTTGCTGGTGGCTCTATTTCTAATATTTAATTGCTTTTGATTAAATGTGTTGCTCCGATTATGATGAAGCTGTGGTTGCAGGGTATTATTGCGATCTACAAAACATTAACAAGAAGGCGCGGTCGTCGAAATACAATGCGAAGAATTTTTTTGGTAACAATTTTTGACATTTGAGAACTACACCAATATGTTTTGACATTTGAAACAAGAAAAAGGGAAGAAAATTCAAATTATCGGCCAAGAATCAGGGTAAGTCCTGCAATCACCACTTCATCATGTGATTTATCAAGAAAAACTGTAGGGTTTATTGCTAGTTCAATGGTATGAACCTGCAAAATTTCCTGAGGCAGTGTAAACTGTTTTGTTTTTTAGTAAATAATTATAGTGATAGTTTAGTAGTTTATTGACGAATCTATTAGAAATGAAAATAACACGAACATTTTAAAAGGAAATTTACATCCCTCCAGACGTTCGTTCCCTTTCCAATTCTATTAAATAATTATTTCACAGTGATGGATCTCCTTCATCATTCCGCCCAGTTTTTATGATTTTGTCTAAGCCAAAGGGATACAAAGGTTTTAGTTTGCCTTACCTTCGCTCCAAACCTTGCGGTCAATGGATATTTTTACTTTTTCCAAGTAAATTTTAATTAAATTTGTCAAATAAATAATGAAAACCACTTGGTACCTCCACGACTGTAAGTCACTTGAAAAGTTACAGTGTACAGTGTAAAAGTAACTTAACAAATTTATTATATTTATTAACTAAATTATATATATATATTTATACTTTCATAAAATAGTTCGTTTATTATTCTTTTGTTATCTTCCGCACAGGCTAAGCAAATTTGGCACTGTTTGGCCGTAAATGCCGTATTTCCATCTGATCGCGAAGAATGTTTTCGATGGTTTGGCAAATTGATGGGAGAAGAACCGGATTTGGATCCAGGCATAAATAAAGACTTTTTCGAAAATAATATTTTGCAATTGGACCCCCAATTGTTGACGGAAAGTGGCATCAAATGCTTCGAACGCTTCTTCAAGGCCGTCAACTCGAAGGAGGATAAACTTAAAGCAATTCACCGTGGCTACATACTTGACAATGAGGACCTCATCGGTAAGGACTATCTGTGGCGAGTGATCACCACTGGCGGTGAGGAAATCGCCAATAAGGCTATTGATCTTCTAAAAGAGGTTTCAACAGCACTTGGGCCACGCCTACAGGAGAGCATTTGTGACTTTCATGAAATGTTTATTGCTGAATGTTGCGAACGATTGCGCACTCATTACAGTAACATAATCATTTTGGGTAAGACAATTGGCGGCAACAGTTCAAATGATCCTAGTCAAGCCGATGCTGATTCGAAAGACATAAAGGATCGCTTCATTGAGGCTGAGAAGATGTGCCGTATTATAAAAGTATTGCAAGAGTATATAAAAGAATGTGATCGTTCGTTTAATGGTGATCGCTATCTATTGCCATTAAGTCGCGTGACTCGCGGCAAAAATACTAGTCTCTATATACGCTTTCAAAATCCCGGTCGACCCATTGATGACATTGAAGTGACAACACACAGTAACGAAACGGTGGCCTCGTTCAAGCGCAATCTACTGAAACGCATCAAAGGCAACTCGCCAGCAAATATAAAGGTTGATTTATTCTACAATAATGGCGAACTGATTGAGATTACCGATGAGATCAATCCCCTCTACCAGTACACTATACGCGACAAAATGATTCTCACAGCAAAACTGACACCAATTGGCCCGGGCCTGGCTAGTAGCCCAGATTCATCGAGCGATTCGAGTACCGGTTCACCGCCACGACCCTGCCCCGACATGCAGCGCGTCGAGTCAGAAAGCACGCTGCCCGGTGTGATTATCGCCCAGAATTACAAGTATACTGAGTTTTTCCTAAAGCTCTATCAACTGGGCAGCGATCTTGATCATGGGCGTTTGCGTGAGAGCGCAAAATTGCTGCTGCATTTGCTGCCGTGCGATTGGCACACAATAAAGATGCTGCAGACGATGTGCCGCGTGCAGGGACAGATGCAGAGCGGTGGTGGTGGTGGTGGCAGTGCAGCTGTGAGTGTGGGAGTTGGTTCTGGTAGCAGCGCTGTACAAAGTGGCGCCAAAGACGAAGAGGCTGATGTTGTTGGCGTTGGCTCCGGCAGCGTGGTTAGCAGTGGTGTTGTTAGCGGCAGCACTGGAGTGCAAAACACAACAACATTTGATAGTGATCAAGTATGGAATAATTTTCAGTTTTTTACAATACTTTATTGGTGTTCGCTTTTTGAAGTGAAACTTCTTTAGCGGTGGTAGTAGTATATTAAAAAATAATCAAAAAAAAAATTTATGCTTTGGATGCAACGGAAGTGCTTAATATTACCGTTGAAGTTAAGGTCAAGGTCAAGGCTAAGGTTAAGTTTGAAGTTAATATTAAGCTTGAGGTTAACATTAAGTTAAGGTTAAGGTAAGGGTTAAGGTTAGGGATAGGGGTAATATTGGAGTTGGGGTTAAGGTTGAGATTAAGGTGAAGGTTAACGTTATGGTTATGGCTATGGTTGTGGTTAAGTTGAAGGTTATGGGTATTGTCAAGGTTAAGATTAAGATAAATGTAGCATTAAGGTAAAGCTAAGATTTAGAACGAGATTCACTGTTAACCCCTTAGTACCGTGTAATCTAATTTAATGCCGATACATAAGGATAACATTAATATTATCGATGAGACTTGAATCTAAGGATAATTTAAATTTCAGGTTATTTTTTTTTAATTTTCAGATATAGAGTATGGAATCTAACCTGTCGATATGTAATTTCAAACCAATAAAATATTCCCAATTATCATTTGTCTTAAAAGCCGTCATCGATTCGCCACTTCTTTGCTCGTTATGTTTCAGTTCCGGTCACTTAACAAAAAATTTTGCATGTGAAAGCAACAAAAAAGTTTCGCCACTCGCTAACTGTTGGCGAATTGATGAAGGCTATAGTATAAAACCAGGAACTAAAATATATAACATATATTAGTCAGTTTGAAACGAACAAGAAATGAATCAAGAGAAGTTTCACTTCTGTAATGTGACAGATTCACACTAACGTTTTCTATTTTGCTTTATTTTCATAGCTAAATCCACAAGAATGCACGCCAGAAATGTTATTCTTGCATGGTACTCCCGCGCAAGTATTGTACAACTTGGGTGTTTTGAATGGCCTACTCATACCCGCATTGGATCCTTACGGCGAGGCGGCACTGCAAGTGCAATCTGCTTGGCTGCACTCGGGTTGCGCGCATTTCATTTTGGAGTTACTAACCAAAAATAATTTCCTACCCAATGCTGATATGCACACCAAACGTGCTGCGTTTCATTGTGTGTTGCGTCTGGCCAGGTTGTTCCTCTACACTGTTGGCTATGTGCTATCACGTGTCGGCGACGAGCCAATGCTTCGTGACTTTGATGTTGGCGCACGCTCACAAGTCGAAATACTTAAGCAAATACTGAGCTCAATACCGAATAATTCGGAGAGCACCATGCGCGCTATTTCCACGAAGTTAGCTGAAATTTTAGCTGCGGAAATGCTTTCGGCCAGTGCCGAAGGCGAACGCTGTCGCATCCTATTTAGTTCGACGTTGCAATGGTCCTCTCCGGACATTACGACTATTAAGGCAGTCATACAATTGGCTTGGTCGTCATCCTGTGGCAATCTGCAGGCGCTTGGTAATAAGAATGACTTCGCTAACGACATCACAATGCCGGATGCACAAGATTTCGCAATGTGCAAAGAGGCTTTAGAAGTGCTAACCATTTCATTGGTGCTTAATCCGAGTGCTAACGAGGCGTTGAGTAACGATCCCATTTGGCCGAAATTCATTACATCGCTTATACTAAAGAATCCATCGCGCCATGTGCGTCAAATAGCAGCTGACCAGCTGTTTCTTTCGTGCACCTATTGCGCCGGCGACCGACGTCCATTCGCTTACATGGTAAATCTGCTCGTAAATTCATTGAAGGTACTGGTGCCGCAATACGAGGCCACATGCGCTGACTTCTTTCAACTGTTGTGCCGCACACTCTCGTACGGAAGCGTATGTAATTGGCCGCTCAACATCGGCGATGGTCTGCTGACTGAGGAGATCAATTGGTTGCAAAAGATACGCGAGAATGTTTTAGTCACCGGCGATATACAGGTGCATGAAGATTTGTTGGAGGGACATCTGTGCTTGGCCAAAGAGTTGATGTTTTTCTTGTCGCCCGAAACCAAAGCGCAACTTACCGATCTGATAGATGAGGTTATTGATATCTTTCTGTTCCCATCATCACGAGAGTATCTCCACTTGCGAAAGTTCAATAAGCTGAGGAACCCAACCTCGCCACCACCCGTCTGTCGCAGTCCGCACACCATAGCAGCGGCTTGTGATTTGTTGATAGCACTTTGTCAGAATTCTGTTCCTAACATGAAGCTGCTAACTAATACGCTTATAGATTTCGTATGCACAGATACGGAGCCGTTACGCGAATGGGACTTCTTACCGCCAGTTGGGCCGCGACCGATAAAAGGATTTTGTGGTTTGAAAAATGCCGGTGCCACGTGTTACATGAATTCGGTGCTGCAACAATTATATATGGTGCCATCCATACGCGTCGGCATACTGAAAGCTGATGGCGCTGCTACAATTGAGAATGAGGATTTTAGTGGTGAGTCTGATGTGGCCAGTATTAATAGTGCGTTATTCTCCAGTCCTGGTAGCGGTGAAGACAATAGCAGCACTGATGTGCGAAAAAACTATCATGTGGTGATATTGAAGTATGTGCAGGCGATATTTGCCCATTTGGGTCACAGTGCACTGCAATACTATGTGCCGCGTGGCCTTTGGGCGTACTTCAAGTGAGTTTGACGAGCGATAGTTTTTTTTTTTTTTGATATATATACTGTTATTTCCGCATTTTGAACAAATTTTTAGATTACAAGGCGAACCCGTGAATTTACGTGAGCAACAAGATGCTGTTGAATTTTTCATGTCACTATTCGAAAGCCTGGATGAAGGTCTCAAGGCTTTAGGTCATACTCAACTAATGAATGCCACTTTGGGTGGTTCATTTAGCGATCAAAAGATTTGCCAAGAATGTCCGCATCGATATTCCAAGGAGGAGCCATTCAGTGTGTTCAGCGTGGATATTCGAAATCATAGCTCACTAACCGAATCGTTGGAGCAGTATGTAAAGGGTGAACTTCTAGAGGGAGCTGATGCATACCATTGTGATAAATGTGATAAAAAAGTAAGTTTATCGCTTAAAAATAAGTATGAAACAACCATAACTATTCCTATAGTGAAACAATTAATTCGCAAATCGCAAATTTAAAAAGCATCTAAAACAATTTATTGAATTTTTTTTCATGAAAACAACTAAAAGAAATACTTCCAAAAATGTTATAAGTATACTATTTTCTAAACCAACCATTCTTCATTTAATTTTACAGGTAGTTACAGTTAAGCGGTTGTGTGTAAGAAAACTACCGCCTGTGTTAGCCATTCAATTAAAACGTTTCGAATACGATTACGAGCGCGTTTGCGCTATTAAATTTAACGATTACTTTGAGTTCCCACGTGTACTCGATATGGAACCATATACAGGTGAGTACTTATTCAATAATAAACAATATATATATATGTATGTATATAAATATGGATGATGGATTCGGAGTTAAAAAAGAATAACGGCTAAAGTCGACTTATGACATAACTGTCGGGTTTACGTATCAGAAGAAGTACGGCTTCTAATTAAATGCATTTAACCTACCAATTGTTGTTGAAAAAATTGAGTGCTGCGGCAGTAGACTATCCCAACAAGGTCTCCATTTGTCCATGGCCGCCCTCATCGTTCCAGATATCTGGAAAACGGGGAGAGTGGCCTTCTCACTGCTTAAACCGGGGAAATAGCACTTAACGCCATAAACATAGAAATTACTCGTGGCCTGAACAGAAACCTCCCCACAGCGTGGGATTTTACAAATCTAGGGGAACTTAATTCTGTTTAGCCACATATTATTTATTATGTGTATTTTTCGGTATATTTATATTGGGATGAACACAAATTAGGAAGACAACAAAGAAAAAGGACCAGTCCAGCGCCTTGTCTTGACCTGCGGGCTGTGTTGGAGTCACAGCCGCTAAACTTAAGCTTAGAATACGTGATCTTACATTCAAGTTAAAACGGTACATAAAATATTCGTTTTGATTGTATGGAATTGAATTTAATAAATCAATAGGAATTGCAAATATTAATAATTAGTAATAGAGAAGCAGATCCACATAGACTTTAGTCATATGTGCCATCAGCTTATAAATAGATAGATGCCATGGCATGTATCACTACTACTGATTCATTTTTTTTCCCTTCAACCTGCAGAAATTCGTATTACTTTTTATATTAGCCTAGGTCCCCGTATTAGTATTCTTCTTCGTGTTCGTGCTCGTCTTCGGATTATATTCGTCTTCGGATTTGTGCGTAAGTTAGCTAAGACTTCTGAAACAGCTGGAACCCCTAAATATAGTTATGAAATAAACAAATGTCTTGCGTCTGATATTGTGATACCTAAATATTTCATGTGCCTGATGAATTAAGTTAAATTTGATTTTTTAAATACGTGACAACGCTCCAAAATACAGCTAAAAAATAAAGCCTTTTTAAACTCATTTAAAGACATTTGATACCCATATTTTTCATAATTGATTTAACATATTAAATAATTTGAATTTACCTTTTTAAACAGGTGGCAACCTTCTTTAATATTCTAAATATTCAAACTAAGGCTATCTTACCACCTTCGTTTCATATATTAATATTTCATTTCACTTATGCATACTTTAACTAAATTCTAATTTTAAAACAGGTGGCAACCCTATTCAAAATATTTTAAAACCAAAACCTTGTTAAACCTTTATCGTCTGACACACATATTGCTATAATATTAAAATTGTGTATCCAATTCCCTTAATTCAAGTTGAATTAAATTTCTAAAACATATGGCAACCCTCTTTAGTTCAGAAAAAAAAAACATTTTTAACCCATGTCAATTTTAGCCCATACTTTAATTATTCACTTGACTTATTAAATAATTTGAGTTAAACTTTTTACACAGGTGGAAACCCTCTTTAATGTTATAAATGCTCAAACTAAATATTTCTTAATACTCCTTCAATCTTTCATATATTAATATTAATTCGCCTTTTCAAACAATAAATCATATATCGCCACCTGAAATGCAAAAAGACGTAACAAAATCGTAACTGAAAAGGAAAAAAGTCGTGACTAAATTTTTTTATTTTTTTTTCATTAAATGATGTGTTGTAAATCGATGAAACCATTTAATCAATCAAAAACGGAATTTTGAATTTTTAATTAGTTACGACTTTTTGAATTACAGCGACGATGTTTGTTACGCCTTTTTGCATTTCAGATGACGTAATGTAATTCGGTCAAGGCATTCGCGATTTTTTTTTTATTTTTTTTTGATATGTAGTACATATCATTCCTTATTCGTATAAAATAAAGTAGGTTTAAAGAGCTTTATAAAATGCGTTTTCATGCATTTTTTAACCGACTTCACAAAAAGGAGAAAGGTTATCAATTCTTGGAATATTTTTTTATTTCATTTTTTTTTAAATCTGTTTTATGTATGTTACCGCCAGTGTACGAAAATAAACTATATTGTACGTTACTATTTCGTTTCGTTTATTACTTTAACAGTTCGGTACAATACGAAACAAAACGGCTGAGTTCACTTTGGCGATAGTACACTACAGTAGTTTAGTAGTTACAGACGAAACAACAAACGAAATGAATCGTGCAGGGAAAATATATTTATGTATGCACATATATGCAATAAACAAATACAAAACGAATGGCTGCAATGAATAAAAAAAATAAAAATGTTTTTTAATTGAATTGGATATGAAAATTTACAGAAAAAATTATTTTTCACGTAATTGAAACGTTTGCATACATATAAAACGTACCCTATGGTACAATTGTCACAAACGAAAAGCAAACGTTTCTCGTTGGGGAAAATGACAGTGAATCTTACAATTTGTTTCTGACTATTTACAAAACTGTACAAAACCACAAATGATATGATGATCGATGAGCAAATGGGAATTGTTTTGTACAGTTTATTTTCGTACCCTGGTTACCGCATAACTTTGGACCACGATTTCTATAATTCTTTTTTTTTTTTTAAGCAAAGGTGTTACCTCACAGGTGGTTCCATATTAATTTGATTTAAATCCGATCTTCGAATCATGAAGAAATTAACGATGATGTTATCCAATAGTGTATTAGAGCTTTTTTTACTGAAGTGCTCGCGAAAGCGTGCTTTCTTGTGCTTTTTCTGTCCTAGGGGCAGAATGCAGATCTGAATTATTTTTTTCCACGTATTGAAAAATTTGTGCTCACTAGCAGGCATATAATACCAGGGGTATTTAATTCTTTTGGTTTCCTCAGCATAAGCTTTAAATTTTTCAACATCGATTTCCAAACTGTTTGATCACGCTTTAAGGATAACGCGAAAGTGAAATATCAGATCGTCAACAGTACCTGTGATCTCGGCAGATTTTAAAGAGTTTCGGAAAAACCTTCGGCCATCATTGGTACTCCCCGCTGTTTGTTTCGGCATATCAAACGGGAGTCCCATCTCAGATTGCAGTCTTTAATTTGTATGATATGTGAATTATGCATTCGAAACACCTAATCCAGGAGTGCAGGG